CCAACATATGGCATATGACCCATCTATGGTGCCTCCCCCAATGATGCACCCTATCGACGGCTACATGTACTCTCACCCACCAATGGAGATGATGGACTACTATCACCAACCGATCATGGACTACGACGAATACACAGAAAACCTGTCGCGACCACGGTTGACCAAGGAACAAGTCGAGACTCTCGAGGCACAATTCCAGGCTCACCCCAAGCCAAGCAGCAACGTCAAGCGTCAACTGGCGGCTCAGACAAATTTGAGCCTGCCTCGCGTGGCAGTATGTAGTCAACACCCTGTGGGCTTTCATTGAAAACTAACGTCGTCGCAGAACTGGTTCCAAAATCGTCGCGCAAAAGCCAAGCAACAGAAACGCCAGGAGGAATTCGAGAAAATGACAAAGGCTAAGGCCGAGGCTGAGGAGGCTGCCCGTCGGAAATCAGAGACCTTGGAACAGCTGGCCGAGTCTCGCAAAGGATCTATCGCCCAAGAGGAAGACAAAGCTGCTACCCCCAAGCCCACGTCCTCATCGGGTCACGCCAAGACAGATTCCATATCCAGCCGCTCCAAGCACCACAAGACAAAGAGCGAGTCGGCGCGGGAAGCAACCTTTGCGTCCCTGCAGCGCGCGCTGAATGCCGCCTGTGCCGCCCGGGATCGCTTTGGTCGCCGGATTAACCCCCGGGGCAAGAACGAGCCTACCCCCGAGGAAGAGGCTGTGTCTCCTGGCTCAATGCCACCCCCCAAGTCTGCTTCTCCTCACAATGGTCTCCCAAACGTCAATTCTTCATTTTCCGGCTGGTCTGATATCAAGGAAGAGCCAGCATGGGAGTCAGGCGAGCATGATCAAAATGTCGGATACACCTCGGCAGAGCAGACCTCATATTCCGCTCCCCAACCATTGGCTGAGATGCCAGGGACTTCCCATGCCGTGCAACATAATGTGGACGCCTACTCAGGTCACCTGCCCCCTCATACAGAAGAGTGGTCCGAAGACAGGGATGGATCTGACCCTAACCTGGTCTACAGCAACATGCAGTACCCAATGTCCATGCAAGCCCCAGATATCGCAGTGACTCGCCGCGAGTCGTCTGATGCGCTGACCACTTCTCTGGAGGGCATCGGAATCTGCACTGGTCAGTCCGGAATGCCTGAGTCTGTCAATCGGGTTGAGGGATGGAAGGAGCCGGGCAAGGAATTGGATATCGCTGCTCGACGCAAGCGCCCTCGTCCTGCTGCTATTGGCACTTCCGGTACTCGTGGCCTCGCCAACTCGACTTCCATGTCCGCGCTTTCACCTAGTGCCCGCATCCCTAGTTCCGGTGCCGGCAACCCCATGAGACACTCCAAGTCCACTCAGAGTCTCAACTCGCGGTACGCCGGTGTGCGCAAGGCTTCTGCTGCCCAGCGATCCCCTCTTAATTTCACCTTTGCCGAGTCTGGCTCCCTCAAGAAGGCCGAGAAGATGCTTCGGCCCTCGGTCTCGACTACTACCCTGGCTCCCCCGACTCCCTTGACTCCGCAAGACCTCCAACACTTCATGCCCGCCTCTCCCACAGACAGCAATTACTGCATGTCAGCTCACTCCACCACTCAGTTCTTCCCTACCTCTCAACCAATGCAAGTGAACATTGCATCTCCTCCCACCACCCCACTGGACATCTATTCTCCCTTCCCTTACCAAAACGTGGCTCCACCGATGTCGGCCCCAGCCCACGTCTCCTCCTTCCCCGAATACGTGAACTGCGGCGAACCGGTTCCCATGACAGCCCGCAGCTGGGCCGATACCGCGTCCATCTCCTCGCCCGAGTTCCCAGCTGGTCTACAAGTTCCCCATTCGAGCACCGTCTCGCCAATGGGCTACGACGCGACCACCGACCACACCGGGCAGTTTGGCATGGAGCCAGTATCCGGTTCCCCGCCCTTGATCTACTCGATTGACGCCGACATGCCCACTTCGGGCGAACTCGCCGAGAAGCGGGCCGACTTTATGATGCACGAATACCCGGAGCATGATGGCCACTACAATGGTCATTTGCCGATGCAAAAGCCTAAGGCCTACACATTTGCCAACAACACGACGCCAAGTAACTACCCATCTTAGTACTTTGACCTCTGATGGATGTATGAGAAATGTGCGAACTGGTGTTTGGTCTGGGACGAGTTCACTACGCATAAAATCACCCCCTTGTTTATCCCACCTTCGTTTCCCACCCTCTACGGAGTAGCACTGTCACTTTACGTCTCCTATATACTATTCTCTTTTTCGTGTTTCTTTATGTTTTGGGGTGGTACCACCGGATTTTTTTTTTACATATTTGGAGCATTCCTTGCATGTTGTTTATTGGCCTGGGATTATACTTATTGTTTTTGGTTTGGTGTTTGATACTGTACGACCTTTTAATTCGCCGAGCTTTCCAGTTTCTGTGAGCTCGAGATTTCTTTTCTTCGTTCATTTTTTACTCTGAATTTTGCCCGGAATTGGTGGGCTCTGGATTTGGATTTGCATATGAAAGCACTTGGTTGTTTATTTCGCCTTTTGATACATACCGTCACATATATGTCACGTATCTATACTATCACTTACTCCAATCTCTTAAGTGTAAATGTAACGTCAAGACTCAAAAAGGGGCTACTTTACCATTTACCCGCCAAATCTCCGAGATCAAACGAAATGACGATCTTCCAGCACACGGCAAGTGAACTACCGCCATTGGTGGAGTCGTTATTGTACCGTGTAGACATGTGAAGGCATTGAGCAGTCAACAGTATAAATTAACACACTAAATCAAGTACTAACTAATAACTAAATGACGAGTTACGCAGCAACGCTAACCAGCCGGAAATGGACGCACGTGTTCTGCACCATAGGATAACGTGATAACGTATTGCCCGAGCGACCGAATTGACCGAGCGGCCCTACCAAAAATCAAAAAACCTTCAATTTTTAACCACGACTAATGCCACAAAATTGACTCAAATTTTGCTATTTAATACGTGTAGGGCATTTAACATAGGTATGACCTTTAATCCCACATCCAGAGCAGGTGACCTGCCGCCTAACCGTAGGCATAGACGGTAAAGCAGGTTCTGCAGGTGGTTCTTCAGGCAACTCTTGCAAAGATATATCTTCACTGATACCATCATCCTCAACAACTACATCATCCTGACCATCCTCCCGACTCCCGAAAATACCCCTCTGGCTAGTGAACTTATGTTTGATGGCTCGTTTTTTGATCTGTTTCTTATTTGAAGCCTCCAATTGGTCGCAGCGATTCTGAAGAAAAATATGATGATGGACCACTTTTATGGTCATTTCATAGGTCCTCTCAATCTCCCGTTTGGTTGGTGAAGAAAGGATGGACGAAGAGGATTCCAGACCTTTTTTGATCCGAGATTGCGATTTTGAGAACTTTGAGAGAGTCCAGAGAGTATTTGGATCACTATCACTGCCAGAAGATAGTGGTCGCTTAGGAAGAATATCAAGAGGAGGAAGTTCATCCAGGCATACATTAAGCTTTTCCAAGACTCTACTAGCATTGAATGGTGCTAATCCAGTAGCTAAAAAGCTATTCTGGATAGTAGAGGTCTTAAAAGCTCCCTTTCTTGCATCTGCAATCAATTCAAGGAAATCTTCCTTATCAATAGAATTGACTCCATTCCGCATCATGGTTGAAACCGCTCCTCCATAAAGCCTCTTCAAAACCGAAAAACAACCCACATCCAAAGGTTGTAAAAGATGCGAGGCATGAGAAGGCATACAGATAGCAATAATATCATTTTCTTCACAAATTCGATCGAATTCAGGAGTTAAATGACTCCCATGACCATCAAGGACTAAGAGGCAGTATTTTCCAACTCTTTTCCCAATATTTGGAATAAACTGAGATTTCAACCACCATAAACCAATTTCATTTGTAGTCCAGCCATTTTTGCTCACAGTCAATCGAGATCCAGGTTGATTTGAATCAAGGGGGATGCGTAGATGTTCAGGAAAAAGTTTCCCCTTGAAAACGAAGAGTGGAGGATGAACACTTCCATCAGCTCTAATGCACTCAATTGAAGTCACCCACTCGCGATTCCCAGCTTGTAAGAGGGTTCTTTTCCCATGGTACTCAGCTGAGGTAATAATCCTTTGTGTGGTACCAACTCCCATGGCAAAACCAGACTCATCAAAGTTGAAAATATCATCCGAAGTGATACCCCATTTTTCAATGGTATTTTGGACCAAATCAAACCATGGTTTGATAATTCGAGGGTCCTCTGAAAGAGCCCTTTGATAGTCGTATTTTCGAGATAATCGTGTGGACAAATTTGGATGTCGTTTGACAAAGTGAGATGCCCAATCTCTACCAACAGTAGAGGGGATTGCTTTTTGGGCATGACGGAGTAAATTGGCCATATCTCTCAACATAGGCAATGTAAGAGCAGCACCCCTCGTATCCATATCCAAGAGCCATTTTTCAATCGATTGCTCTTCAACCTCAGAGAAAATAAAGCGATTGTGTCGTTTTTCAGAAGCAGCTTCACGCCCCTTAAGGCGGGCCTTCAAAGTTGAGACTGGTAAATCAAAAGACCGCGCAGCAGCTGCAGCAGAGGGATATTTACCATCTTTTATAGCTTTTATAGCTAATAAAAGACGACCCTCCTGTTCTAATAATTTTCTCCTTCGATCAGACCGTTGGGGGGGCATTATCATTGTGGTAAACAAGAGATGTTAATTTTTGAGATGGCTTTTTGGTGGGGCCGCTCGGTCAATTCGGTCGCTCGGGCAATACGTTATCACGTTATCCGCACTGGGGAATACGCCACCAACATTCTCCATCTCCATCTCCATCTCCATCTATTCTTCATGTCAACGTCCACGTGGGATGGAACGGATGGAAAGTATAAAGAATGACCATTCCGCCGATCTGAACCATATTTATCATCTGCACTATCTACACCATTGAATTGCAACACTTGGACATCTCCGCGTACTCCATCTTCGGTCTTTGCTACTCCCGATGAAACTCTCCACTCTCGGTTCAGCCCTTGTGGGCCTGGCTGTTGTTAACGCCTCTGCTGTGTCGACAAGTGTTGAGTATACGGCTGTCACCGGGTATTTCCTTCAGGATGAGGATGCGACAGATGCTAGTACTTTTGATTATGTGAGTTGTTCCCCTAACAGATATCCATGAATATTATGTCACATTATATCATATCCTGGAAAGCACGTTATATGTGATGGTGTATTGACTAACACCATACTTAGACAGCAGAGAACTTCGGCTTGATCAATCGGACCTACCCCGCCGATTCAAAGCTCAAGAACTCTGCCTCCTTATCTCAATGGGAGCGCTTCCACCATCAGGTTCTTAAACTCAACCAGGAGGCTGGCAAGAATGTCGAGTATAAGGTTCTCTTCCTTGGGAGACACGGCGAGGGATGGCATAATGCTGCCGAGACATACTACGGGACACCAGCCTGGAATGTGAGTACATCCCCAACCAATATATCCATCCACGTTACTAAGATAAAAAAATAATAGTGCTACTGGGCCGAACTAGACGGCAACAGCACAGCAACCTGGGCAGACGCAGCCCTAACAGAAAACGGCATCTTACAAGCCCAAAAAGCACACGACTTCTGGGCCTCCCAAATCAAAACCCAAAACATCCACACTCCAGACGTATACTACGTCTCGCCCCTAACCCGCACCCTCCAAACAGCAAACTACACCTTCAACAACCTCGCCCTACCAAAAGACTCTACCCCCTTCAAGCCCACCATCAAAGAACTCTTCCGCGAAGGAATCAGCATCCACACCTGCGACCACCGCCGCAGCGCCAGCTACATCAAATCCCTCTTCCCAGCCTGGCGCCTGGAATCCGGATTCGCGGAGGAAGACCCATACTGGAATGGCGTCGAGGCTGAAACGAGCGATGCGCAAGATGTGCGCAGTACAACTGCGCTCAATGAGGTTTTCTTCGGGACTGGGGGGAAGGTCCAGCATGAGCAGGCGTTTATCTCGGTTACGTCGCATTCCGGTGAGATTTCCTCTATTTTGAGGGTTGTTGGTCACCGTACTTTTAAGTTGAATACCGGCGCTGTGATTCCTGTTCTTGTTAAGGCGGAGAAGAAGGGGAAGGGCGTTATTTCGGGGCCTACTAGTACTGTTGCTTGGGCTGTTAGTCCGCATTGCACTGAGCCGCCTGTTGAGTCTGTTACTGCTTGTGTTTGTCCTTCTAGTGCTGTTCCCGTTACTACGGCGCTTGCTACTGGGTTTTAGATTTGTGATTAGCTTGTTTGAGTATGTCTGAGTATTTTGTTGTTGGAGATGGTCGTAGATTGGGGTTGGTATACAAGGTCTTTGTTGCTCGTTTTGCTCAATTGATAGTACGATTCTCCTTGCTAAAAAGACTTTAAAGGCTGGTTCCTATACTAAAAAGATCGAGATGTATATAATGGGCTTTTAATTCCACATGGCGAGACTAAAAGCGATGGTAGTTGTCCCGGCACAGATAGAGGGATCCTAGGCTTAACGTGCGCTGCTGGGCAGCGAAAAATGTCCTAGATAAATAGCAGAGATATATGCCTTGACAACAGATCTATACTGTTATAGATTACACCGTCAAACTGATATCTTAAGCTAGTGGAATGCCTTTTACGTAGCTTTATACTCGATGGCCAAACAAACCATCAAAATACTACGGTATTAAGTCCTCAACCAAATCAACACACTCTCTACAATTCAATCACGATATACATTATCACAAATCTGTCGCTATCTATCCAGCTGTTCTAGCAAGATAACCCCCTAATCATCCTTCCCCACGCCACAGCCATCATCCAAAAATCAAACAAAAGGTAGACAGACTCCATATATAATATCTGAAAACAAAAAGAAGCGTCCCCGGGAAGGCTCGAACTTCCAACCTCCTGATTAACAGTCAGACGCGCTAACCAATTGCGCCACGGAGACTTGCTTGTGGCGAAATCAGCGGTTCTGTGCGCTATTAGTGGGGACACTTTCCGCTAGCACAATCGCTTTGTTGTCGGTCCATTGTATGGGACGAGGGTTGAGGGGAATTAAGAAAGTATAAAAAGATGAATAATTGTGTTCTTATTTATTAGATCGGGTTTATGTTGGACCTCCTTTGGCTGTTGTTATCTCTTCTTTGGGTCTTATGGTGATATGTAGGGGAGAAGGAGAGAGAGAGAGAAGAAGGGGAAGAGGAAGGATACTCTATTAATCTATCAAGGAAATAAGGCTTATATTGCACCATGAGACAATGAGTTCTGGCATTTAGGGTAAACATTGGAACAGACAGTTCTTTCTTATTTGAACCCAGAGTGTTCAGCTCCCTTCTACTAGTAGAACTCAGCTTCCTCCTATATCATACTTTCTCGGATTTCATCATTTCAACATCTCTATGCCCTGTCTACTGTGAGATATTTCTATAGCATATAACCTATTTTCGAGGCATTTTACCTCGTACCAGAATATGACTGGTCATCCTGAGGGCCTTGATCTTTCTCGGCCAGATGATCCTGTCCGCGTGCAGAGGACCTAATTGTGAGCCCACTCTGTTGCACTGACTGTTCGGTCCTTCGCACTTCACGCCGCCGCTTTACGAGAGGAATATGACAGCAAAATCAAAGACGCAACCAGCGCATTTGCCATTGAATTAATTGTGGCCATCAAAGATCTCGTAGATCGGTGAAGCAGTGGTGGTAGATCTGTTGCACTGCAAAGAGGCATTAAGACCCGAACGGCCCTGTTCGCTCGCGACAATGAATAAGGTGAAATATTTGACACTATGAACGACAGCCACGATGGCCTTGTGCCTTTCTGTGGAAAGTAAGCCCATCATTACTTGGCCCGTTGACTGAGTCGGCTATAAGTTCTACAGCAGCGGCCTAGCCGACGTCGTCATGGCCAACAAGCTAGCTCCAGCACCCTACAATATAGCGGCCTACAGAGAAACACCTACGCGAACACTGACTATGTCAAGCACGGCGTCTGATTTTTCAGCTCGTGGATGACACACGCATGACAAACTTCTTCAACCGGCAAAATGGCAGCACATCCACATATGATACCCAGAACGGAACCCAGTATTGTGCACTGCTCTTGAGCATGCCCAGGTCCTATGTTCCATCCTCTGGGTTCGACGGAGGACCCAGCTCTCAGACCTGAGGTTCAAGCCCACAAGTGTTCCACTTATGTTGTCATGGGTCGTGTTTGCGAATGGCATTACGGCAGTGACGGGGTCCTCGGGGACTGTTGCCATGTCAAAATGGAACTTCGGGATTTCATCAACCGCCACAACAGGTCTTTCTATTGCTTGGGCTGACTATCTAGAGGGATAGTCGAGATGACTCTATCTTGACTAGATCACGCTTATCTCAGCCGTTTCCACTCTATATACGTCTCTGGTATACTGTATGAAAGGACAAGATAAGCTATTGTGTTTAGCGACCACGCCCTGCTTGTTCCAACAGATCCTGGGTGAGGCGATCACACACACACTCCTCTAGGTTTGTGTGTACTCCAACCGGCCAGAAACAGCTCAATTCAACACCCTTTCCTCGGAGCGCTTCTAGGTTTATGACCAGGGGTGTGTTCACAATTTGCGAGCTCTCTTGTATGTAGAGAGTATCCTATACTCACCAATTCATTTGCTGATAGCCTCCTACGGCAAAGATTTCTGGCGAAGAATGCAAGACTGGGTCCTGGAGGCTTGTTTTGCCTGTCTTGCACGCAACTTGCCTCATGAACTACAGCGCTCTGGGCGCAAGTCTATGCGAGCGGTGTATTTAGCCGGGCCTCGACACTGTAACAGTATCTTAAATCTCAGGCTTCCCTCAATGCTCATGTGCAGATATAGTAGTCCATTGACCGCCTATGAACGTTGAATACTAGATAGACTAGCGTGGCGAAATGAAGAAGAGAAAATTTTCAACCCAAACCTGAATAGGAAGAGGGCCTTGATGTGTAACTAGACCTTATCGAGGCACAACACAATTTGCCTTATAGATCACCAAAATCCGCAGATCTTAACAAGCACGTCTCCGTGGCGCAATTGGTTAGCGCGTCTGACTGTTAATCAGGAGGTTGGAAGTTCGAGCCTTCCCGGGGACGCTTCTTTTTGTTTTCATTTATACATTCTCATTGAATCGATGAAGTTTTTTTTGCTCAAATTTGAGTAGGTTAGGCTCTGTGGGGTGGTAAATTCAAATCCATAACTTCGCGGCATTTTGTAGTGTTTGGGATGCCGATAGAAAAAAATTTATGAACTTCAATTGACATTACATAAATTTACAATCATAAGACGGTGGTACAGTATCTGTCGTAGGTGTTCCTGAGATTTGGTTTTCCTTGCATGAATTTTCACGTCGAAGCTACTCTCGCACTTGTAGTAAAGCTTTTAGTTGTACTGATCTTGCTCTTCGATTAGGGTATACATGGTTTAGTTGGGACGGAGACATCAAGATCTCATCAGGAAAGTACTGAATTGATTGCTTCTTTGATCTTTCCCTGTTCGATTTCATTGGAGAGCTACGTAGATAGGCGAGAAGGAATACCTGTAAGGTGCCACTAATGACCACCAGTACTACAATCTCGAGCCCAATTGATACTCGGGAATCAGTATCGATTCTTTAAGCTACCAATCTTGTAAATTGTCACCTTGTGTTCTTCGATGCTATGTTTGTTCTGTCGACTCGGATGCTCGTGTTCTAGGTAGGACCACGAGGGAATGACGGAATATTCACTATGTGTACATAACAACGAACCTAGGTTAAATGATCTATCGCATTTTCAATCTAGAGTTCAAGTTGTTTGACTTTTCTTCGTATACCTTTTGTCTGTCACTAGGTCGGTAAACCCAGGTCGTAGCTGGTGATCGGGCCTAACCAGGTTATATCTTTCATAATACCTAGGCACTCGGTACCGGCAGGTAATAGGTTAGACTCGCTTTGTCTTTCTTGGTGGCTTGCTTGTTTGATCTTATGTCAATCTCAGTTTGTTCTTTGGTCGGTTTTGTATAGTGGTCTGTCTGCTTTGGTTAGAGTATAGGGGTAATAAGTGTTAAGTATACTAACACTTTCGCATGTTAATACTATAATTGATCAACTGATAATCTTATAGGTATCTAGTAACATATAATAGCCCTTGGTTATGTACTTGTCTGTGATTTAACTCTAGTTGGTCGGCCTAGATCATTCTGTGTAAGGTGTATCATGTGGTAGATACGTACTCCAGTCATGGAGGTACCACAGCCAACCGTGATGGTATTCCAGTGTAAGTCAAACCCTGTTCTGTGTGACCTATGCCAGTTGTAGTGGATGTTTGCCTATTTTCAATGGTACAAGTATACGGTTGTAACACCACTACTTCCCGGATGCGAGATATATCTATATATGGATCACCTTACTCAATATACATGTGTTGTTAGACCCATTTATTTCCAGTATTTTTCAAACAAAAGAAGACACTCTTTAGTTAAAGCTCAATATTAACCATTTAGAAAGGTAAAGTAGATTACAAGCAAGGTGGGTTCTATGAAGCGATATTGTTCCTTATTACTGACTTTTAGATAGTATGGATGCTGTTTTCAGTCATAAAGCAAAAGCATGCTGTGTTTCTCAACAAGCACGTCTCCGTGGCGCAATTGGTTAGCGCGTCTGACTGTTAATCAGGAGGTTGGAAGTTCGAGCCTTCCCGGGGACGTTCCTTTTTTCTTTTTATGTTTGGACCCGCCCGCTATCAACCGGGTGCCATACCATGTTACCATATTTTTACTCTATCAAAGAGGTGTGTGGGTGAGTGAGCCAATTTATTTATTTTCTACCTTCAATTATCAAATTCCCCAGCAGAAGGAGAATCAGTATCCTATTGCAGCAGGAAAAGTTATAGTCATTTGCAGAGTAAACCAACATTAACCGTTTACCATATCAAGAGAGTGAAAAACAAGCGGTAGAGCAGATAGGGTATGTACCGATTACTATCAGTTCGACAATAGGCAACATAAGAGGAAACAAGACAGAAAATAAGACGAGAAAGCATCTCGGATGCCAATTTGATGCGAGAAGTGAAAAATAGACTGCAGAAGTGGACACCAGATAGGAAAAAACACACCACGCAGAGGTAATGCAAGATAGAACAAACAGCCGAAGATAAAACAACAAAGAAAGGAAAACCCAAAGTCTTGAATAAGACGGTAATACACAGACAAGAAAGTGGCAAATAGGAGAAGAAGGATAAGAAACCAATACATAATGGAGATGCAAGTGAACACTGAACACAGACTTCTCCGAACGGTCGAGAGATTACCAGACGTCTCGGCCAAGGTACAAGGACAAAGAAACTAGACCGGGTTTTCAACGGTCATACACACACTTCTATCGACCATGTATGGGGCAGAAATAGAAACGCACAAACTCATAATCTTGTAACACTCTGTCCAGATAGTAGTACCAACGCCGAATTGATAGGAATCAAAAAGAAAAACAACGCCGTAAAGGCATACCGGACAAAACAACAACCAGGTAGGTACCTTGATCACGTACAGCTCAACAAAGGGTATAGGAAGATTGGCCCAGTTTAACATTAACCGAAGATCCTTCACACCATAGGATGCAGTGAAGAATGCAGAGGAACACTGGAACATCAGAAAAGGGGAGTAAGTCAGACACGAAAGAGAAAAGCAGAGGATGAAAGCATGGCAAGGAGATGGCGTCTTAGACAAGGAAAGAAAAAACACCAATCTAGACAACGCCGATTGCAATTTAGTAATTCCATCCGCTGCCACCAAGTGGGCTGCCGGACTGGCCTGGCTGAGGCTGTCCGGCTTGTTGCATCGGTCCGCCAGGACCAGCCCATCCGGGCATACCAGCACCCCCCATGCCCATTGCAAGACCCGCTTGTTGGGGGTTTCCAGTCATAAAGGGCTGACCGCCAGGAGTCTGATTTGAAGGGTACATAGGTCGCTGCATGCCTGCGTAACCGGCTGGCGTGCCTCCAGGATAGCCTCCCATGCCCTGCATACCCTGGGTCTGCGCCTGCTGTGCGTGCTGCATCTGAGGGAATGACTGTGGCATTTGCGGTATTGATTGACGCTGCTGGTTCCGGGGAGACTGGTGGTGCTGCTGCTGCGTATGAAGAGGAGAGGGTGTTTGCTGAGGAACCCCGGCCATTTGTTGACCATACTGAGGCATACCGCCACCCTGATGACCCGAAGAGGGCAACGGAGATGGCTGTGGCTGAGGCGGTGGTTGTCCCCACACTTGCTGTTGCTGAGATGGATACCCGTAAGGAGGAGGCTGAGCCATACCGGCAGACATGGACGGGTTCGATCGTTGGTGCATCATACCGGGCTGCATACCCGGAGGCATCCTGAGGGGAGATTGTCCAACGGCTTGGTGAGGCTGCGGGTAACCTGATTGACCGCCCATCATAGCGCCTTGATGCATGGAAGCCTGCATTGAAGGCTGCTGAGCCATCACATGCTGGGCATGAGAAGGGTTTTGCAAGCCACCAGGGGGATATATGGGATACCTGGACTGGCTGTGACACAGACAAGCCCGAATCAAGAGCAGTACTAGACTGAGGCTCTGTTTCAGGAGCCTCACGGGGCCTAGAGTAGAATTCATCAAGGCCCTTTTGACGAAAGTTGCGCTGCGAGCTCAGAATCTTGTTGAAATCGGCGGTATGTGAGGCCTGATTTAGAAGCTCTGCTGCTGAGCTAGTTTGAGTGCGGTCATGGTACGGTTGTCCCGTCATTTCTTGGCGGGAACGAGGCATAACATTGTAATCTCGCAGCCGAGGGTCATCCGTTGTTGCCATCTGAATCATCGGGAGAGACGACAGGGAAGTAGAAGCGTCACTAGCATCAAGCGAGAGACCAGGAGGCAGCGGTTCAATGGTGCTGCTATAAACAACATCATTATGGGGAAGTGCCGGTAAAAGGTTGGTAGCAGGCTCTGTAGTTGAGCCATCACGAGTCTTGGCTGCACCAGGACGCTTCTCGCCCGCCAGATCATCCTCCGTGAAACCCTGCTTCCTTGCCTTGCTCTCCCAATAATCATCCCGAACCCGGCGGCCATTTAAGATCACCCGGCTTCCAAACTGTCGGAACATGGACCTAGCGGAGACGATGGCGATTTGACGGGACCGGTAGGAATATGGGAGAATATCTTGCTGGATGAGGTCGTCCTTCTCAATCTGGGAAGCTATGATCTTATGCAAGGACCGGTTTTTGTTGAACAAAAGATATGAATCTCGATAGTTCAACACCCTAGCGCATTCGGTCGCAAGCATGAACAGTTTGTCACCACGGAGGGGAACACGGAATGTCCGGCATTTGTATTCACGACCACCCTGTGGGTATCCCATAGGGTCTGCCTTTGTCTCTCCTGCTTCATCAAACTCCTTTGGAATATACTCATCGCCCTCTGGATTCAGTTGGTCAGACGTATGATCCCTCACGGTAGGTAGCGCTTTAACCTGCGACTTGGACGGGGTAGTCTTATTTTCCGGCGGTGATGCAAGAGGCGGCGATCCGGCGTTTGCTTGCGGAAGTGGGCGAGCTTGCATTTGGGGTGTTTGTGTGGGTGTGTTTGCGACAGGTTGTTCGCTGGAGCCTGCGCGAGGAGTCTTTGGGGGACGACCGCGCTTGCGACGACTTTGTTCATCTAGACCGAGATAAGTCAGTATAACTCATGGAAAATTCGAGACGCTGTGAGATGGTGGCAGATATGCAGGCATTGCTAGGATTAAGAAAAGTATGAATGGAGCGTATTGATAACGTCTCCCCCGCCGCGCACATACCATCATCCAGATCTCCTTCGACATGTCCATTCCCACTGTGCTCTGGAGTGCGACTACGCTTGACACCGCGAGGACTTGAAATTGGATGGGATTGTGCTGGCAAGACAACAGATACTAGTAGGGGTATCAGTTTGAAAGCAGCGACGGGGAAGTGGTACAAAGTAAAAGAGCAGAGAGTGGATGCGATTTAGAGGTAAAAAACAGGGCGCGGGCGCGAAATAGATCGCGAGGTGAATCGAAGAAGTAATAAATGCGCAAGGACAGGGTAGCATGAATAGTAAGCGACACATACCAGAGTTGCTCAAATTCGCAGGATCGATAGTCCCCGAGCCATCAATAGGATCCCCCAGACCATTCATTGTAGATAGGGAGTGAGGCGTGCCATACATGGTTCAAGTCGCCCGTCGCAAATGGCGCGTCGGGTTGAACGCGCAAAGAGGCCCTGAGGAGGGAGTGGCGCAAGAGAGGACTTTTGGCCTGAGATCAGCGGATAGGTCAAGTCCAAGGAGCTTGGGGCTGGGTAGGTTCGGATGAACTTGAGAGGGGAAGGACTTGAGGCGGTGAGCATGGGTAGCCTGAGATTTCAGGGGTCGATGGCAAGTTCTGCCTGGATCTGACCTGCACTTTGTCTTTTTCGTGCCTTTATCGGGGAGAACTCAAGTTGCAAGGAAAAAAAAGGATGTGATTGTCTTGTGATTGGTCTCAGGAAGCAGAAGAATGAGTCTTACTGTCTCCTGCGAGAAGCAAAAGTGGCGCCGAATCAGAAAAAGACCACTTTCTGCACGGAGATGCCCCGTGCTCTTGGGAAGCACTAAAAGCAAGTATCTGGATGCCGAATCAAGCAACACATAAACACCCAAGACCCAGATTCTGGTTGTTAGAGGGGATTGGTACTTTCGCGCCCCGAGCAATAGGGTCGAATATGGACCACACCTCAAGATATGGAGCCGGAGGGAACAAGAATCTTTTTGTGATCTTCTAGGCGCGGATACGGCGCTAGGGTACGAACAGGGTCAGGACAAGTGAGATCATTCACGGTGGAACCTGACTGCAGTCTAAGCCTCAGAATGCTTCGCTGCTCTTTTGACTCCGGGATCCAAGAAGAGCGATGTTCCGAGGTGGCACAGTGATCGAGTCCTCGATATGGGTTGAGCAACACGGAGGACCCTGCTTCTGGGCAACAAAGGGGAGGGGCATGCAGGAAGGGGCAAACGAGAGAAACAGAACAGAATAACAAAATAGGTGCAACGGTAGCACAAGAGCACAAGGCTTTGAATTTCAAATTCCCAAGTCACTGTCACTTTAGGGCCAATCACCAGATCGATCACGCCTGAGGTATTGGTATTGTCCGTGTATTCTTATATTCGCATTCTGGTATTTCCATGCTAATCCTTGAAGAGCGGACTATGTACGTATATAAAGTGAAAGAAATCCCTCGACCAGTGTTTAAATTGTCTCGCCTTCCTATTTCAACCTTGAGACTATCTCATCACAGCAAGGGCAAATTCTAGACACTGTGATAGGCCTTTGATAGGGCTATGATGATGTCCATCTAGTCTGGATCTCATATGGTGTAACTCGAGGTGTCTTAGAAATGTCAGGCCGACGAGTTTATGAAAGAAGTAGGAATGGCGAGTCAAGAGAAAGACGAATCGAGCTCATGAATACAGATGACCCTATAGAAGCGAAGAAAGATGAATATAATACCAGGAGATATGCATGCCTCTGGGCGTCGGCTAATGCAATATGCAGGCGCGGAAGGTCCAATCTAGAGTAGAGCAACAGAGATATGCGCGGTCGGATTATATCGGGTTGAATACCGGAGATTCCTAAACTGCGGAAATGAAGAAACCATCTCATTATTCGAGACGTCCTGGCTGTTTAAGTCTTCAAAAGTATTTCCAGCTTTTGTGCCGACATCTAATAGTTCGGTCGATGATCCTCCGGACAAGACAACGAGGGGCCGTAATCAAGACTCAGGAAGAGGCTAAGGGGACTGAGCCCAGGCTGCACCTTGTCAGATTAGCAGACCTCGGAGCTAACGACCATTTAGAACTAGTGCTTCATGGGTGAAGATAGGCGAGGATATGCTCGTAGAAGTCTTGATTGACCCGAGGCTCCCATGTTTCATTTAGATATCATGCAGTGCATTCGTTATCTCGTAGTTTCAGGAATATGAGGATCAAGCCATAGTCAATCAAGGAAGATGGCTCTATAAGTCCCATGATATAGATACCATAACGGGTTGGATTGGTCATGTTCGCAACATGCACGAAAGCCTCGTATCGCGGAATTAGTGCCTTCTCACATCAGGAATTATTAAAAACAAGCATCAACCTATGATTTGTCCAACAACTAGCAGGTGACCAAAAAAGAGAGGCTATTGACGGATGAAAAGGTCACTTGAGCGGGAACTAGGGAGTCGATCAACGGCCCATGCGCGAAACAAAATACCCTGAACTGACCCAATCAGCATAGAAAGGTCGATAAAACGGTATTGACTATGTCGACACTATCGCCAAGTTCGGAATTAATTATTGCTATACTCGGGGACCGCACCGTCCGCGACGGCTGTACAAGGTAGAGCAAGGTGTAGCAAGGTTGCACAATAACGCCCGCCTTGTCATAGGCGGACTACATCCTGAAGTATGTGAATGTACCAGGTCTTAATTGGAAAAAGACCAAAATATTATACTAATATACACTCTGGTCCGGGTTTCACAACAGTCGGCCTTGCATCGCTGCCGTTTCCACGCTCGGCGCCGGCTGTTCTCCCCAGTCACACAGATGACAGTAATGTCGTCGCGCTCACAAAGCACAAGGTGACCCTGCCGCTAGAAGTTGGAGAGAGACTGGATCTCTTAGTGATCTGGAGTACTCAATTTAGACCTCGCAGAATCGATGTTTGTATTTTAATCGAATGTTCAATTTGGTCTACAGCGCTGGGTGCAACATGCAGTCGTAATTAAGACCTCGAAAAAGGAGTACATCTTTTAGTTCATGATCTAGTGACATGAATATGAGGGTTTTTGTGTTGTTTCACGCTACGCAAAGCGACTCGCTCGCAAATTTGGACCCTGGCAGGGTACTAAACAACATCTATACTCAGGGCCGAGCCCGATAAACCTACCATGTAGACTCAAATTACAAAAACGGAGTATATGAAATTCCAAGCCAACATATGACTACTACACTGCCGCCAGCCCCCAGCTAAACATAAGCCTTGATCATGATGTATACAAACAGTTCGTTTGTATCCCTTCATTCCCGGGGAACTATTTTCAACACATGCGGGGCCATTTCCTTGACACAGACTCAAGCCGCTGACAATGATAATTCGTCAGTACCAACCATCATTGCAAATGTCAAAGATGATAGGTCCAATAGCATTCTCAGCCTTTTTGCCTCCCACTGCTATATCCGGGTCAAAGTTCAAGATGTTTCCCTCCTGATGCAACAGCGACACCAAATTCTTATCTGCACATCTCTACTAGTGGAATGACCGTAAAATATACTTCTGACCGGGAGTTTGGGCCAAAACAACTACCCCGGAGGCCAACCAACCCCACTTCTCGACAAGCCAAGCCCTGGAAAGGCGGCAGCCTCCGATGGAACTAAGTGCATAGATCCTGACCTATCCTAGACAATCTTATATCTGCTCATAGAAGCTCCAGGGATTCTCAGTGAGCCGTGATTTGTGGGGCAAAGACACGCAGGCGCTGAACCACAAAGTATGTAAACGTTGTCATCACGCATCACAAGCAAGACAGAAAGCAGGGGGTTATGGCTTTCCTTTTTCCATATCTGGTTTGCCTGAGATGACTCGGAGTGTTGCGCGTCGAAGCCTACGTGTTGTACAGATGTGCATCTGAATTGGTCGTTTCCTAGCTTTTGATCTATCACAGTCCACAGACCTTGGGCAAGACTCGGAAGAGGTTCAATGACCGACAGTCTACCTGATTCTTAGTTTCGATTTGGGGTTTGGCGAAAGAAAATTACCTGCGGATACGCAGTGCTCATGATCCAAGTGGAGGTCATAAATGTATACACAGTACGATGAAGTATGAGACAGTTTTTGCACAAAATCCTCGCAATGAGAGTGCTATTTTACGTATTCCTCTTGCCCTGTTTGGCCACTCTCTTCTCACATCTCGTCTTCTTGTTTTGAGTACCTCGGGGTGATTTTATAGATCATGTAAAGATGAGTATGTGCAAAAGCCTATGACCACTGTTATGATATGGTATACAGTTCTGAGCGCTTCACGAACCCGGGAAAACCAAGTCGTCTACCAAGTGACAGATCAACCCTTATTGGATCTGACAGAGATGACTAGAGATTATACTCAAGAGACTCGTTAAATCATTTGCCTGATACTAAGTCATAACCCCACAAATACGAGATCTCGGAACGAGGGCAACGGCGCCCACCGAACCCATATCGCCTGACATCCACAGTGTGGCGCAAAGGTCCGAGTGAGCCCAGCAAATAGCTTAGCTGCAGCTGTATGTCCGATTGTCGGAAAGGGAAACCCTGACAGGGCAATGATAATCACATTCAAATCCCGGGTTCGTTTAGGCATTAGCGTGAGTCAAGAATGTTTCAGGCCGCAGCAGGAGCCGGTAGGCGAGTGCAGTGCGCATGGGGTAAGAGACCCATGACCCAGAGATCGAGGAAGATCGGCAGGGTGCAAAGCCCCTTTAATTCTTTGATCTTGGAGTTGGGGGAAGTCATCTGATACCATGCAGTAGTTGCCGCTGGGCTTGACGAATCGAAGAAGATTAGATTGAATGAGCGGGGATCCGAGAGATTTCATGTCTGTTTTCACTGGGTTGAGTGGTTTTTGTAGTTTGTTATACGAGATCGCGGACAAGAGTCTGGCGAAGGACGGGCAGCTATCACATGGTGAAAACGTTATGGTACTACAATATGTGACTGCGCAGTCATCTGGCCAAAGCCCGAGTAAGGAGTTGACAGCACATTCTTGTAGGCCATGAACAAGACGCTCGAATGTAGGTCTGTGCCCTGGACGGACGGAAGACAAAGTATAGATCTAAGAGAACTGAGCGGTCATGAGTCATGCACGGGAATGAACTAAGCAAAGTCATTTGTAATGTTACAATAAAATCTTGTAACTAGTTTGTTCAATATTGCTTACATGATTTGGAATAGGTTAAACGTCACTTGGACGAAGACAAAAGGTACTCGATAGAGACCAGAATACCCCCCGAAAAGCTACACAGATATTTCACAGTTTGAATGACTCAAATATTATATGATCATTTACTAGCTGTATACAATATTTGTATTTCGTCAAAGTCCCACTAAATCTGATTTTCTTCCATATCAAATGCGGCCGAAATTTGACCAGGTGAAACTCAGTATAAAGAT